CCATCCATCATTCCTTCAATTCCGACCAGTTTCCCAGTCCCTGCCGATGAAAAACATCCCCACAGCATGATGCTGCCACCACCATGCTTCACTGTGGGGATGGTGTTCTCGGGGTGATGAGAAGTGTTGGGTTTGCACCAGACATAGGGTTTTCCTTGATGGCCAACAAGCTAAATTTTAGTCTCATCTGACCAGAGTACCTTCTTCCATATGTTTGGGGAGTCTCCCACAAGCCTTTTGGCGAACACCAAACGTGTTTGCTTATTTTTTTCTTTAAGCAATGGCTTTTTTCTGGCCACTCTTCAGTAAAGCCCAGCTCTGTGGAGTATATGGCTTAAAGTGGTCCTATGGACAGATACTCCTTCAGGGTTATCTTTGGTCTCTTTGTTGCCTCTCTGATTAATGCCCTCCTTGCCTGGTCCGTGGGTTTTGGTGGGCGGCCCTCTCTTGGCAGGTTTGTTGTGGTGCAATATTCTTTCAATTTTTTTATAATGGATTTAATGGTGCTCCGTGGGATGTTCAAAGTTTCTGATATTTTTTTATAACCCAACCCTGATCTGTACTTCTCCACAACTTTGTCCCTGACCTGTTTGGAGAGCTCCTTGGTCTTCATGGTGCCGCTTGCTTGGTGGTGCCCCTTGCTTAGTGGTGTTGCAGACTCTGGGGCCTTTCAGAACATGTGTGTATATATACTGAGATCATGTGACAGATCATGTGACACTTAGATTTTACACAGGTGGACTTTATTTAACTAATTATGTGACTTCTGAAGGTAATTGGTTGCACCAGATCTTATTTAGGGGCTTCATAGCAAAGGGGGTGAATACATATGCACGCACCACTTTTCCGTAATTTATTTATTTATTTATACAAGTTATGTTTTTCATTTCACTTCACCAATCTGGTCTATTTTGTGTATGTCCATTACATGAAATCCAAATAAAAATCCATTTAAATTACAGGTTGTAATGCAACAAAATAGGAAAAACATCAAGGGGGATGAATACTTTTGCAAGGCACTGTATGCTTTGGATCATTTGACTGAGACCACACTAAATAGCCTATAGGCGCACTTGATATTGCGCTTCCAGCGGAGAATCAGAGATGAGGGGCGGCATCGGGCACACATCGATATATAGCCTAATAAGCAACTAATTCTAAAACACTGAGAAATACAAATTACATGACCCTCCCCTGGAATAGATTTTAAAAATACTAAACCCTCCCCTTGAAATTGAATAGCATGACCCTCCCCCATTTTCCTCCAGGTAACCATTCTGTAAATTTGTATTCATCACTTAGGAGAATATTACATCAACATTCCACCAAACAAACACAGAACATGGTTGCCATGTTCTCAGAATATACAATATTAATGTTCTACACACGTTTCGTGGGACGTTGCAAGAACCTTCATGTGTCCAGTTTTCTGAGGGTTAGGAAAATATTCCATCAACTTTCCACCAAACATTCTCAGAACATGGTTGCCATGTTCTCAGAATGTAAGATACAGTATTAATGTTCTACACACGTTTCATGGGAACGCTGCAAGAACATTTCTGTATATCAGTTGTCAGGACGTCACCTGATGGTCCCAGATAAATGTTCTCCCCCCCCAAAAAAACATTACATATCACAACTTGTTACTGTTGCCAAGCCCATCAAGGCCATTATTCATTCATATCTCTTTGTTTGGCAAGGTAAGGGATACTCACACACACAGTGCTTTTAACATACAGTGTTTTCAACTTACATATTTGACACACATGATTACATTATGCATGTTCATTTATACAGTAATTATTATTCAACATGTCCTCACCTTGGATTTGGACTCACAACCTCTTGGTTCACAGCATTCAGATCTTTCTGCTATGCCACCATGTCTGTGTCAGTTATCAGTTAATTTGACTATTCTCTCATCATTGATTTTATTTATTTAAAAAATGTAAGGGCTTTTGGTATAGTTGTTTTAATTATATTCCTGAATCTCTATGATCAATAAATGTTTTTCTTGAGTATACTTTTAACAGAGCTAAAGGCGCATTCACCCTATTGCTTACACCTATCTAGTTGTTTCAGATCTACACAAGTGCCTAGGGAGGAGGGGTTAGGGTTTATTCTAGACAGGGCCTAACTATACTGGCCCAATAAGCAAATGCCCTAGAGATATCCCTTATTGGGACAGTAGTTAGGGTGTTTGTCATTGGTGCTGGTGGCCTGTGTCCGAGACCCACTAGGGGAGTCACCCTACTCTCACATTCTTAGCAATATATGTTAACGTCATTATTTGGCAACAGTTACAACACACCTATCTAATCTAATTAAAATTAGTTTCTTGTTGAAAGATGGGAATCGGTAGAATTCTAGATAGCTGAGCATCACAAAGAGAACTCTCTGTCGTCTTTTTGAAATCCACACCACATATACCATGTAGAACAAACATGTGTCTCTGATAAGGAATAACATCAGCTCTCGTCATTGCATTTATATCTGTAACATTCCTAATGTGTTTCTGAAACATGGCCCAGGTGGTAGTGATGCTTCAGATAGAAACATACTCAGAACACGGTGGCCATATTCTCAGAATATCAGAAATGTGTTTATTTACAGTAGCATGTCTGTACTTTCTCACATTTGCCATTTAAGCAATGATGATGCCAGTGATACCAAAACAATACACAACACAGAGTTCCATCTCCAAGTTTTAATGTGGAAAAACAGAATCACTTGGGACCAGTGTTGGGTGTAATATATTACTTACATAAGTAACGGAGTAATATAACAAGTTCCTGTCTTCAAATATTGTAATATTATTAGTTACTTTTCCAAGTAACCCATTTATTACTTTCAGAAGCATATCTCTACCGACATGTTATATACAGTATATATTTTTGAAGCCTTGTCTCATTGTAACGGAATTCATGCTGTAGGCTAACTCGTTTCCAATAGGCTATCGTAAAGCCCAAAAATCAAAGAAAGATGGCAGCTGTGTTGTTAACCTTTTCATGGTGGAAATGCTCCCATTCTTTTTTGTTAATCGAGGAGAAAGAGACATCAGTCAAATACAAACTCTGGAAAGGCAGCATTGATCTCTTCATCCAGAAACACCACATCAAACCTGAAAAAGCATCTGGAGGTCGTGCACAAAGCTGGTAGACGAAGTTCCAGAAATGCGTGAAATAGGATAAATCTACACTGAGTGTACAAAACATTAGGAACACCTTCCTAATATTGAGTTGCACCCCCTTTTGCCCTCAGAACAGCCTCAATTCGTTGGGGCATGGACTTTACAAGGTGTCGAATGCGTTCAACAGGGATGCTGGCCAATGTTGACTCCAATGCTTCCCACAGTTGTGTCAAGTTGGCTGGATGTCATTTGGGTGGTGGACCATTCTTGATACACACAGAAAACGACTCAGTGTGAAAAACCCAGTTCTTGACACACTCAAACCGGTGCGCCTGGCACCTACTACCATACCCCGTTCAAAAGCACTTAAATATTTTGTCTTGCCCATTCACCCGCTGAATGGCACACACACAATCCATGTCTCAAGGCTTAAAAATCCTTCTTTAACCTGTCTCCTCCCCTTCATCTACACTGACTGAAGTGTATTTAACAGGTGACATCAATAAGAGAACATAGCTTTCACATGGTCAGTGTTATGATGCATTTCATAGTGTTGTGGGAACCAGGTTAAATTTAGTAGATAAGTGATTCTGGGTGCCGCACAGTCTGAAAACCAAGGACTCCATTATGTCGAGGGAGCTTACTGAGGTTTATCTTAGAATGATTGATGGACATGATATACTGACTTGGGGTACAAGGTAATAACATCAGAGAAGGGAGTGCCCACTGATGGTTAACAGATGTTGTTGAAGAAACGTGTAACATGACGTATATAAACTAAGAGGTTTTCTTTGTCTAGTAGTTCAGATGACAAGAGGCAAAGCACGCGCCTTTTGTTAGATGAACCCGGTACTGAATCTATTAAATATTTGTATGAACTCTCCATCTAAGTGTTAAATATCTTCTGGCATCATGAATTACTTGATACCTGAGAAACTCATCATGACAGTCAGTCTATGTCATGGAAAGAGCAGGTCTTCCTAATGTTTTGTACACTCAGTGTATTGGTCCGGACAATCTATATACCAAAAATTATTGATTCACATGATGACTTGATTTGTGAAATGTGTAAAAAACTTTAACCCCATGTGTCCAAAGACTAAATATAGTACAATATAGAAACGGCTGTAGTTCACAAACGACAATGAGTTGAATCATATAATTGGCATATTTGGGCTTAGAACAGGTCAAATAACAATACTATATGCTTTTAAAAAAATTATTCTGAAATGTATTTTAAAATACATATGCTGAAGTCATTTTAATGATTTTGTAAAATGTTCTCAAAGTCCCAACTTTGATTTTCATTATCTATCATACTTCCAGTGTCAATCTTAACATTTCAATGTGGCCTGTGTAGACACTTGTACTAGGTTGACACCAAACATAATTTTTGATAGTGTATTAAATGCCGTACAAGGACGTGAATGGGTTAATACACATTTGAAATGAATAAACAGGCTGATGATGAGAATCATGACTCCGTTTGACAAAATCAGTCTACTACTGGATGGAAATCTGATGTGTTGTTTTATGGTGTCAGGCCCGTCTTTGTCTATGTTTACATAATATTTCATGATATTAATATTTTTTACATTTTCAATAATTAATATATTCATAATTCAATGTTTCTCTCTAACAGATAATTATTTTCCACAAAAGTACATTTCCACATGCAGTTATTCATGTCAATATTCTGGGCTCTCAGTAATGGTTTCAGTAAATAAAAAAAGTCATATTTCATTGTCACAATGTAGGCCTACAAGTAATTTCTTAATTCTTACATCTGTGGACTGTGAACTGCCATAAAAATCACTTACCTGTAACAAAGATGGTTTAGGATGGTTTAGAAACTCTGCCTGTCCTTTCCATGAAATTATATTCTCTTCTGCTAGGCGGACTTAATCCACAGGACGGCGCTATTGTATTGCACAGATCTCTCCTGTCCAGCTCACACACGCATTTCCGGTTTACATCTACATGCGGTGTCCTGACATATTTTTCTTCCTTTGCGCGCCTGCATCAGGAGTGTGCTGTCATGGTACGTTTGTTCAACGCATTGCTCATTTGTAATCCTCAACTATTTAAAATATGTATATAAACTAGTTTATATTGTATGTAGTAGCTAATGTGATGCAACTATTCTTCTCCCTCCCGTTTCATACGAGCCAGTTGGTTGTATGAAACGGGAGGGAGAAGAATAGCCACAACCAATGTAAATGTTGGTTGTGGCCCTAAAGCGTATTATCAGGAATTAGCTAGCTAGCGAACGTTAGCTACGCAAACACTTCCAATGTGTTTTAGCTACTTGGCAAGTTAACTAGCTAACGTTACGGAAATTGCTAGAAAATAATGGGGCACAGGCTACAGCGGAGAAGAAGCCTTAACTATAGTATCTTTGGTACAGTCATTTACTATTTTTTTTATCATGGCTCTAGGTAAACGTACCGAAGACCCGCAGGACTTACTGCAAGAAATGTAAGAAACATCAAACTCACAAAGTTACCCAATACAAGAAGGGGAAGGATTCTTTATATGCACAGGGTAAGTTTGGTATAGAGTCTTACCATAGACCAATGACACAGATATTTCACCGGATTGAGTTATTGCACATGCGCACCTCACAGGGTAGGCGTTCCTTAACTGGTATATGCAGATGTATGCTAGAACGGGCCAATAGCTTGGATCTGCCCACCTCCTTGCTTGTTCTGCCCACTGACTCATTTGTTCCCATTGGAAACGACAGGCTGTGGTCTATCTTGGTTTAGTTATAAAAAATATTTGATCTAACGTTACTTCCCTTTCCCTGTCTACTTGAACATTCACATGTATTTATTATGTGTGGTATCTACCTCTGCATGCATTTATCAGGTAAATGTCTTTCAGGCAAAAGGAGATACGACAGAAAGCAATCTGGTTATGGTGGCCAGACCAAGCCTATTTTCAGGAAGAAGGTATGCAAGAATCATAATGGGAAAATATTTACAAATTCACTGTGACCCTTGTCTTCCCCTCATACAGATGGGACTTGTTTGTTTGCAAATTGCCACTGTATTAGTTTCCATGTCAATACTCAATCAACTAGTCGGCACATAAATAATTTCCATCTTTTTATGTTATTTGCTCAAACCCTTGTGATTTCTCCCGCAGGCTAAAACTACAAAGAAGATCGTGTTGAGGCTGGAGTGTGTGGAGCCCAACTGTCGGCAAAAGAGAATGGTGCCCATCAAGAGATGCAAACACTTTGAACTGGGAGGAGACAAGAAGAGAAAGGTAAGCATATTGGTTCTCCTTAGTTTTCAGAGCCAGCAAACTTGGCTTCTACTCGTAGCCTAATGGCAAACCAGAGCATTGTTTGAAAATAAGGCAGTAGGCAGAGGGTGTTGTTAATGAGATTGACACTAATACAATTGAGTTGATGGGTGGCGATTTGAATCTCTTTGCAGCAATCTGTGAAATGTCAATTTCTTATCTATATTCTTTTTCTCACTCTTTCAGGGCCAGGTCATCCAGTTTTAAGTGTTGCCTTTTCTTGGGTCACTTGTCAATAAAATGTGTATTCTAACTGTACCTGAACTTGTACTGTATTTACTGTGTCAGTTAATAAACCTCTATGCATTGGAACCAGTCAGACAACAGATCTTGAGTTGTCTGGCCCATGTAGTTACACATTAAAGGTGCAATATGCAGAAATCGCTCCGCCATTTCCTGGTTGCTAAAATTCGAATAGTTGCCTAATTTCAGTTTGACAAAACAAGCCGTAATTGTGTAGAGAATCATTGTACCATCTAAACCGCTGTGAAATATATTTTCCATAACCAAAAATATTGTATTTTCAGCAGTTTGAAGCTGGTGTACAAAACCTAAAGTAAGACGCAAAAACGAAACTTAAGACCGGGAAGCATAGAAATAGCGCACATAAAACAGATCTACTGCTTCTTAGACCCGCGTTCAATGAGAATGACAGATCTATAACTCACATTTTTGTGAATTTGGTCAGGTCGTGCAAAAAGTTACATATTGCATTATTTAATGTATCTGTAGTGAAGCTTGGGGATGATACTTTCCCCCTAATTGACTTCCAATTGTGTAAAGCAAAATTGCTACATAATTATCTTCCATGGGGGCAGAATGTAGTTTCTAGTTAAATACTTCTGAAGGGAAACAAACTAGATAATGTCTATGTATTATTCAGTCTTTCTAATGGAATAGCTGTGGATTTCACACTATTGACTCCTGAAGATGTACGCTTCATCCTGAACTTTCATTCCCCTCTTATGTAATTGCTCCTGTAAGTCGCTCTGGATAAGAGCGTCTGCTAAATGACTAAAATGTAAATGTCATGTATGTTTTCGTTCACTGACTTATAAATAAATAATTAATCAATGGAAGCAAGCTTAGAAGTATTACTGAGACATCTGCATGAATTTGTAGTGACGACAGCAGTCATGGTTTTATATTTAAACAAATGATTTATTTTCACACTAACCATTGACAATTTTAAAAACACCCAAGACAAGGTGCATAAAAAAATTCTGGCTGACTAAAAGTATATAATTAACGAAGGACATCGCCTAACTAGACAATTCAAAATGTCTAGCATTCACTTCTGTTTATTCATGTACCAATAGTACTGTCCCATTACATAGTGTACCATATTAGGTTGAAATCAAGGTATTTGTAGGGATTTATTAACAATTTGCCAATACTGTAATGTGGCAATCACAAGTACAAAATAGAAATGGAATTCCAACATTTCCATGCAGTCCTGCCTCAATATCTGGGCTTGTGCTTGCTCCATGGGGGTGACATTAAAACTATCCATAGTACTAGGTCTACAATATGTGCTAATTAGTGCATTCCATTGAAATTGTAAAAAATTAAAAGTTAAAGGGGCAATGTGCTTGTGGTACATCCATTTTTGGACTTAATTTATATCTACCCATTTGATTCTTGAATAGCAAACACTAGCCTAAAAACATGGTTAACTTAAGTTTGATATCATGGAGGGTCAGTAATTGCATCCATAGGGGTCTATACATTTGAGTGGTTACATTTCTCCAGCCCCATCCCTCGGCTGTTTTCCAAATCAGTGGCGGGGTGGCTTTTGTTATTGTATCAACTGCAGATTGCCCCTTTAAGGATGACACTTGGATGACATCAGGTTTGCTTAGTTTAATGAAAAAAATTAATGGAACTGGACATGCAGTCAAACAATAATTTTTCTATTGGCACAGCGGATGGATTTGACATTGTCTGTAAAAGTGTTCTGTGGAACACTAGGTTCAACTCTGTATTGGTTTTTAGTGCTGTAATTCAGTCCTCAGATGTTGATTTGTCAAAGAGTAGCTTGGATGGCTTCATTCCGCAGCACTTTGTAGGTGAGCCAATAGAAAACATTGAAGCAGAGGAAACTCAGAGGGAACGCAGCCCTAGATATGGTGTCGATCCTTTTTGCCCGATCTACAAACTGCCTGCGGATGTCATACAGTGGGAACCCTGGAGGTAAGGCCTGAAAGATTGGGGCGTCCATCTCTGGTGGTGCATCGCCTGCTACTCCATAACTATGGAGAAAATAGGCCTGGCTCTGCTCCGCCAGCTCCTGCTCCTAACAAAGAAAAGGGAAAGGACTAAATGTCTGTTACCCTCAGTCATAACCTGCAATATTTTCTCCACATTACTTGCTGCATACTGGATTATGATTCAAGTGTTGCAAAGTCAACAAGGCCTTTGTAGGAATTGGATTTTGTGATAAATACATTTCACAAGATTAAACAGATGGTGATAACAAACCCTTACAACTAAGTGAGATCTACAGTGCCTTCAGAAAGTGTTCACACCCCTTGACTTTTCCCACATTGTTACAAAGTGGGATTAAAATTGATTTAATGGCAAAAAATTTTTGTCCACGATCTACACAAAATACTTTCAAAGTGGAACAATTATATATTTTTTAATTAATGGAAAATAAAAGATAGGTATTCAACCCCCTTGAGTCAATACATGTTAGAATCACTTTTGTTAGCGATTACATGTGAGTCTTTCTAGGTAAATCTAAGAGCTTTGCACACCGGGATTGTAAAATTGTAATACTTCAAGTTCTATCAAATTGGTTGTTGATCATTGCTACACAGCCATTTAAGTCTTGCCATAGATTTTCACGCCTAAACTTTAACTAGACCACTCAGGAACATTCAATGTCGTCTGTGGTATGCAACTCCATTGTATATTTGGCCTTTTGTTGTAGGTAATTGTCCTGCTGAAAGGTGAATTTGTCTCCCAGTGTCTGTTGGAAAGCAGACTGAACCAAGTTTCTCTAGGATTTTGCCTGTGCTTCGCTCTATTCGGTTTATTTTTTATCCCCCACCCCAAAAAAAAATCCCTAGTCCTTGCTAAAGAAAAGTATACCCATAACATAATGCAGCCACCACCATGTTTGAAAATATGAAGAGTGGTACTCAGTGATGTGTTGTTGGATTTGCCCCAAACATAACACTTGGTATTTAGGACAAAAAGTTAAATTTCTTTGCCACTTTTTTTGCAGTTTTACTTTAGTGCCTTATCGCAAACCGGATGCATGTTTTGGAATATTTTTATACTGTACAGGCTCTCTTTTCACTTGGTCATGTATGTTTGTATTGTGGAGTAACTACAATGTTGATGACCCATCCTCAGTTATCTCCTATCACAGCCATTAAACTGTCTTAAAATCACCATTGGCCTTATGATAAAATCCCTGACTGGTTTCCTTCCTCTCCGGCAGCGGAGTTAGGAAGGGCGCCTGTATCTTTGCAGTGACTGGGTGTATTGATACACAATCCAAAGTGTAATTAATAACTGCACCATGCTTAAAGGGATTCAATGTCTGCTTTTTTTTATTTTTATCCATCTACCAATAGGTGCCCTTATTTGCGAACCATTCGAAAAACCTCCCTGGTCTTTGTGGTTGACTCTGTTTGAAATTCATTGCTCGACTGAGGGACCTTACAGATAATTATTTGTGTGGTACAGAGATGAGGTAGTCATTTAAATCATGTTAAACACTTATTGCACACAGTGAGTCCATGCAATTTATGTGACTTGTTAAACACATTTGTACTCCTGAATTTATTTAGGCTTGCCACAACAAAAGGGTTGAATACTTATTAACTCAAGACATTTCAGCTTCATTTATTAATTTGTAAACATTTCTAAAAACATAATTCCACTTTGATATATTATGGGGTGTTGTGTGTAGATCAGTGACACAATCTCAATTTAAATTCAAGCTGTAACACAATGTGGAAAAAGTCAAGGGGTGTGAATACTTTCTGAAGGCACTACCATTTTGTTTTTCTAAGTGAACAAACAGTGGAATTCCCCATTAAACTAAACTCCAGTCACCGTGAGAAATGTAGTAGGAGTTTTTACCCTGGCACAGACACTGCACTGCTGTGGGCCAGGCAGGGTCCCCTGGGAAGAGTTGTTGCCTGGCACGTTACCTTTCACTTGGCTGCTCTCCCCACTTCCACTTCTCTGTTGATAAACCAAGAGCAACATGGAGGTGTAGTAGGCATACAGGAATACTGTGATTCAATCTAAAAGACATGCAGTGGCACATTACTGATGACATTCATTTTTCAAATGTTGTACATTTAATATGTAAACAAAGTCTGAGACATACCAACTGAGCGTAAAGGTCTCAAAATAACATGAGAACTAGGAAAAACAGTAGGCTACCTGGTCCCTGGAACTGATATAGATGCAGGTTTCAGGGAAAAGTATGGATAATTTTCGTAACACTTCATTTTAAGGGGTCCTTATTACAGTGTAATTACACTAACAAGTATTGTAGTTAAGTTATTACAATTAATGTTATACTGTAATAACATGTAACTGGTGATAATTGCGGTCTGTAATTAAAGGTGTAACAAATGCTTGTTACAAATGGGCAAGTTTCCACTAAATTCACCAGACATAGGTTCACCTTACTGGGAGCCAGACATCTTTCTGATTGAGAGGGGGTCAAATACTTATTTCCCTCATTAAAATGCAAATCAATTTATAACATTTTTGACATGCGTCTTTCTGGATTTATTTGTTGTTATTCTGTCTCTCACTGTTCAAATAAACCTACCATTAAAATTATAGACTGATCATGTCTTTGTCAGTGGGCAAACGTACAAAATCAGCAGGGGATCAAATACAGTGAGGGAAAAAAGTATGCTGAGCACTTGTTGGCTGCTTTTCTTTCACTCTGCGGTCCAACTCATCCCAAACCATCTCAATTGGGTTGAGGTCGGGTGATTGTGGAGGCCAGGTCATCTGATGCAACACTCCATCACTCTCCTTCTTGGTCAAATAGCCCTTACACAGCCTGGAGGTGTGTTGGGTCATTGTCCTGTTGAAAAACAAATGATAGTCCCACTAAGCGCAAACCAGATGGGATGGCGTATCGCTGCAGAATGCTGTGGTAGCCATGCTGGTTAAGTGTGCCTTGAATTCTAAATAAATCATTGACAGTGTCACCAACAAAGCACCATCACACCTCCTCCTCCATGCTTCACAGTGGGAACCACACATGCGGAGATCATCAGTTCACCTACTCTGCGTCTCACAAAGACACAGCGGTTGGAACCAAAAATCTTAAATTTGGACAGATTTCCACGGTCTAATGTCCATTGCTCGTTTCTTGGCCCAAGCAAGTCTCTTCTTCTTATTAGTGTCCTTTAGTAGTGGTTTCTTTGCATCAATTCAACCATGAAGGCCTGATTCACACAGTCTCCTCTGAACAGTTGATGTTGAGATGTGTCCGTTACTTGAACTCTGAAGCATTTATTTGGGCTGCAATTTCTGAGGCTGGTAACTCTAATGAACTTATCCTCTGCAGCAGAGGTAACTCTGGGTCTTCCTTTCCTGTGGCGGTCCTCATGAGAGCCAGTTTCATCATAGCGCTTGATGGTTTTTGCGACTGCACTTGAAGAAATGGTCAAAGTTCTTGAAATGTTCCGCATTGACTGACCTTCATGTCTTAAAGTAATGATGGACTGTCGTTTCTCTTTGCTTATTTGAGCTGTTCTTGCCATAATATGGACTTTGTCTTTTACCAAATAGGGCTATCTTCTGAATACCACCCCTACCTTGTCACAACACAACTGATTGGCTCAAACGCATTAAGGAGGAAAGAAATTACACAAATTAACAAGGCACACCTGTTAATTGAAATGCATTCCAGGTGACTACCTCATGAAGCTGGTTGAGAGAATGCCAAGAGTGTGCAAACCTGTCATCATGGCAAATGGTGGCTACTTTGAAGAATCTCAAATATAAAATATATTTTGGTTTAACACTTTTTTGTTTACTACATGATTCCATATGTGTTATTTCATAGTTTTGATGTCTTCACTATTATTCTACAATGTATAAAATAGTAAAAATTAAGAAAAACCCTTGAATGAATAGGTGTGTCCAAACTTTCGACTGGTACTGTGTGCATATATATATATATATATATATATATATATATATATAACGTGTGTACATTACCCATTTTGACAACCTGAACCTCCTTGCCATCCAAGTGAGAGGATAAATCTACAAGTACAACACAGTACATGTAATATATGTGTAAGTAACAATGTAATTACTAGATGTGAAACAGGATTTATCTGCTTAAAATGAAGTGTATCTTGAGGTGAACTTACTTGTAATTAATGTGTACTTATATAGTACATTACCCATCCTGACAACCTGGTCCTCATTTTAAGGCTTCCGGAAGCGCCATCCAAGTGGGAGGATTTTTTTTTTTTTTTGCAATTACTAAGTGCTTCACAGGATTTAACTAGTTAAAATTAAGTGTATCTTGGGGGGTACTTATTTGTAATTAATATGTACTTATATTGTACGTTACCCCTCCTGACCCTCATTTTTAAAGCTTCTGGAAACACCATCCAAGTGAGAAAATAAACACTAATAGACCACAGAGTACATATCTGTAATGAGTACAAGGTTGTTGATAGTTCTTACACAGGATTTAGCTATTTAAAATGAATGGTATCTTGATGTGTACTTGTAATAATTGCGTACCTACAAAGTACGTTACCCATTCTAACAATCTAATCGTCAGCTTCTGAAAGCACCATCCAAGTGAGAAAATAAACACAATAATAGACCACAGAGTACATATCTGTAATGAGTACAAGGTTGTTGATAGTTCGTACACAGGATTTAGCTATTTAAAGTGAAGTGTAACTGTATAGTTACCTATGCGCAATATCTATATATTTACTTATTACCAAGTGAAAATACCTACAAACAAAAGAGCTTCTACTTTAGTCAACTTTATTGCAACATACCCTTACAAAAAAGTCCTGCAGGAATTCAACCATTTGTGAAGGAATTGTGCAGGTGTCCTGCAGGAATCCAGTAGGATTGACAAAATCCTGCAGGAAAAGTCCCTGGTGCTCCTGTAGGACACAAACATGACAATTCCTGCAAGAATCCTGCAGGACCAAGTAAATCCCAGCAGAACTGCCCTTACAAAAAAAAGATTGCAGTCAGAGTGCAGTATAACTGCAGTTTGTTGCAAATACTGCATCAGTATCTGCATTGTGATAAATTCATACAACTATAACATCCATGCATATTATTAAATGACGCTGATGTTCACAGTTAGCTTGGTTTTATATTCACCTTATGCATTGATAACTAAATGATAGGCGACATGATGCAATACAACTAGATTAGAAGGCCTAGACCAGGGGTACTCAAGTACTATTTGAGAAGGTCTGGTCACACACATTTCCTAGGTGGCAAAGGTCGGATGGATAATGTAATTTATCGGCGTAGTAACAAAACCCCACCTCACAACCCATGTGACCCGAACTGTTGGTAGAGAGAAAATGTTGCAGTTTTAAAGCGAATTTCCAGAAATTCTACATATTTTGCATGGGGCAATTATATGCATTTTCCCATGTCCGTATTGATCCTGTTCTGGGTTCGGATCCGGTCCGCCAGTTGAGTATGGAGGGCCTAGACAATTTCATCCTAATGTAAGCTAAATGCATTGAATACAAAACAAACACTGCCATATTATAAAGGACAATGCCCACTTTAATTATATGCATGCATATCAAACAGGAATATATATTAAATTAAATGAACACACCATTGTAATATTATTAATGCCTTTCTCTCTCCCTACAGGGGATTAGACAGATGAACTACAGCCCCAGATGCCCAAGCCTCAAAACCAGAACAGTAGGGAGACATCAATACTTGTAATTTAATAAATATTAACCCTTTTATTGGTTTTTCTGGATCCGTGCATGAATCCTTAGAACACAGACCATTGTACAAATGTTGTATTAGTCATATGTAAAGGATACACATGGTCCAACTAAATGCTTACTTGCAGGTTCCTTCTTGACAATGAAACAATAAGAACACATTTTAGAATCCCCTAGTGAGGGACATCAAGGAGATTAACATTCAAAAGCTTGTTCAGTACACCTCATTCAACGAATTGTGGTCTAAATTGTAGACAATGAATAGTTGAACATGGTGTTTGCTAGGCAGGAATAAAAACGTGCATATAGTGCAGTACCCTGGGGCAGGAATCATCCACGTCTGTATTTTAGAATGAGCTGACAATTCTGCATGATAGAGAATACTACTTCTAACAAAGCGATGTTGCATACTGCTGAATAAACTCCTGGGAGAGGGTGATTTTCCTGGTGGATGGGAGGTTCCTAAGTTCTTTACATCTGTCTGATGGGGTGGGATGTGCTTCAACCTGAGGCGAACAGAGCAGAAACATAAGGCCATGGGAGGAGAAATGAACCTCACTGCTCAAATTTCAGTGCTGGTTCAAGTTGCTGAGAACCACAACTAGCTTTGTTAATGTGCAATGGTTTTGTAAACAGTTTTGCATATTCATAGGCTTGATCAAGTTGTCACTGATTTACTTTTATTTAATAATTACATTATTTAAAACATGCAATTGTGAAACACGAGGGGAGGGGAAAGTGACAAGAAGAAAGTTAGCTAACGTTAGGTAAACAGACACTGCATGCATGCATTTACTGATCATGTAAGAATGCAAATAACTTGGCTTGCTAACAAGCCTAGATTGAACAGAACACAGCTAGCTGCATTTCCTACGTTTTTAATCAGATGTCGTTAAAATGTCTAAACTCCAAACCAGTCGGCCACAACTATTTTGTCCTGCCAATGCCATGGAGTGAAATTAACACATCAGTTGCCATCTGTCCATGAAAACCTTTTTTTTAAAAGAAGATTTGCTACATTTCTCATTAGCTGCCTAGCAAGTTCACCAATTCAGGATTTAAAAAACTGTCCGGGGCTTCACTATTGACACCGCTGATTTTACGATTAGTATGTTTAGTTTGTCATCCCTAAACAGCTGATAACCAGGACGAGATCGCCTGCTAGCTAGCCATCGCGTCCGACGAGCTAACTTAGCTTGGCTAGCGGGCTGATAAACAGCAGTGACTCAACATTTGAATTCAAATTTCATATGAAAGTAATTTGTTTAACAT